GTGTGTGTGTGTGTGTGTGTGTGTGTGTGTGTGTGTGTGATTATGGGTAGATATCCAATGTGCTGTTGTGGTTTTATTGTTCTGCCTTTTTAATCATTATTTGTGTATTTAATATTTATTGCTGCTGTGTTTCTTTATAAATACTTGTGTAACTGTGGGTCGGCCAGTTCGCAGCAAAGCCAGTTTTGTACAAGGTTCTGTACACAACAAGGTTGTGTACCCCAGCTTCTACACACTTGTTGGGATGTGTGTTTCCTCCCCTCCCAGGCCAGTGAATCGGGCAGTGCAGACGACACTCAGAGCCAGGTTCTGGAGTGGCAGGAGATGGTGGCTGAGGCGGTCAGCGCCAGGGACCGGGCCCGGGAGGAGAAGGCAGCCATGGCCCTCCGGCTCAGCCACATGGAGGAGGAACGAGAGGGTAAGGCTGAGGCTGGAGGAGGATGACACATCAACACGTGTAGGTGGAGTCAGCAGGGACAGCAGCTGGAGCAAGTGAAGATAGATGTGTACTTGAAAGGGGAGGAGCTTAATAGTTTTTATACACAGAACCTGTTAAAAGTTTAGGCACACCCACTTGTTGAGAATTATTGATACATTTGATCTCTGGCAGTTAACAGCACACTTCTTTTCATTGTGTTCATTACAAAACATCCATGCTTTGGTTGAAAACCCTGCTTCAGACCTCGTGTCTTTATGTTTTTCTTTCAAACTTTCTTCTAATCTTTTAAAGTGGTCTAGTTCTCAGGACTTTCTGAAGGTCTTTTAAAGTTTTTCTTTGGGTCTGGTTTGCTTTCTTCTCTTGTCCAGGTCCTAACCTCTGAACAAGGTTATTTAATATGAATGTCAGACACAGACACACGTTTATCACAAAGAAAGGAAGCAAAGCTTTGGAAGAACCTTCAGAAGGTCTGCAGAACTAATCCTGAGGATCACTTTAAAAGAGTAAACCTGAGTCTGTGCAGATAAATCAGAACATGAGAAGACTTTAAACCCAGCTGTGAGGTTCTGATCAGGGTTGGTGGTCCTTCAGTCTCTTCTTCCAGAACATGTGGAGTAAATGTGAAGCAGTGTATCACACTGAGTTGAGACTTTTATCCTCTGTTGTCTCACTGACCATTCTTTTCTTTATTTGTCCCTGTCCTCATTGTCCTGTGGGAGTTTTGTTCCCGCTGTGCTGCCTCCCATCTCGTGGACCTCCGTCTCCCTCCTGCCTCCCTCTCCAGCCCTGCTCCAGGGATGGGAGCAGCCACACAGATCAGTTTCCCATCAGTTTTGTGCTCGCAGGCTCCTGCAGGCCTGCAGTGCAGCTGCTGCCTCTCTGCACTGCCTGCAGTTTSCCTGAACTGTGTGACTGCTGGGCCCAGCTGCTGGCAGTGCAGTGAGGCAGCATGCACTGAAGAGTCTGCCTTTTTGTTTCCTCCTCTCTGTTGTTTTACACCACTTTACCCTGTCTTGTCTTCTGTTCCACGGTTTGACCTCCATGTTTTGTTGCAGGGATCAGATCCTGCTGTCAGGCTGACCTGATCAATCTTTATCTCCTGTGGGTTCTCCTTCTTCTGTTGTTCACAACCAGGACTAAATGTCTTGTGTTGCTTGAGGAATTTAATATTTCTATCTCTAAGGTTTCTCAGTAGCTGCAGAGMTTTTACTCAARATATTGCTAARGGCCTGTTAACATTCAGCYGAACGCCCACGTGCCSTTTTGTATTTGTTTTATTTTGAAGTATCATATCTYTTTCCTGTTCAGCCTGTGTRRYTGTGCAATGCATKAAACTTGATGTCTAGGCCCTCCTCTTTTGATTGACATCTCATTTGACCAACTGGGTTCAAGTTTCGACTGTCTAGGGCKAGTAATAAYTCAGTAGTGACCAACTTCTGGTTTCCATCTTTGTAGCTTTGATTGACTGTAAAATCGGCCAATCAGCTCCGAGCTTCGTTCTGATGCTACAGCTGTGTAGCCAATCACRGTKCCTTTCATTTAATGTATAAATAGGTGGGGTGGGGACTTTGTTCAGTGAGGGAAGATGATAACACAGTGGAGGCGGCCATATTTCGACAGTGTTACTATGCTGAGGAAGACAGCTAACGCTCACAGGAAAACGTTGTTTTCCATCGTTTTTTGGCCAGTTAGCTGACGAAACCTGCTGATAAGATGAAAATATATTTGTTATTAAGTGTTTTGAGTGCTTCAAGACGTGGCCAGGAGAAGTAAAATTATTTGGATAAAAAGACTTCCGGTCGCCATTTTGAATTGCTAATTTGGACATATTTGAGGACAAATATGCATCAAATGTGAGTAAAAAACAAACATTTTTTCGCTGCTGGTGGTTTTATAAGCTGTGTGGAATGTTAATGCTCTGAAAGATATAAGGATATATTGTTTATTCTTGTGG